CTTTCCACAAACTTTATAAAATAATTAGAAATCTTCATCAAGGCATGAATAATACAACGAAATCATGAAAATCACAATATAAGACTCACGGTCATGCTTGACACCAACGTATAGATACTCGTCACCATGCGTATACGTCGTACTCGACAAGAAGCAAATAGCAAATAGGACACAACTCCTAATCCCTCAAGCTAAGGTTAGACCAAACACTTACCTCGATGCCTCGAACACAACTCAAGTTTCAATTATAGCTTTACCCCTTGATTCCATCGCCAATTTGCTTGTATCTAGCCACAAGTTAGTTAATTACATCAATACACTAAATGAATCAATTTGAATGCATGAAAATGATTTTTCCAAAGTTTTTACCCAAAAAGTCAAAATCGCCCCGGGCCCACGTGGTCAAAACCCGAGGTTCAAACCAAAACCCGATTACCCATTCCCCCACGAACTCAAATTTATAATTTGTGTTGAAATCGGACCTCAGATTGAGGTCCAAGTCCCCAATTTTTGAAAAACCTAGGTTCTACCCAAAACACCCAATTTTCCCCATAAAAATCATTGATTTGAAGTTGAAATCATGTTAAAAGATGTTAATGATTGAAGAAAAGTAGTTAAAACGTCTTATAATTGATTTGGAGAAGAAAGGTTGTTTGAAAAATTGCCCCTTATGTTTTTGGGGTTTTGAAAAATGAAAAATGACTGAAAATTCTGTCTATTTATACCCCTCTCAGACCCCCTGTGCGGACCGCACAAAATGGACTGCTGCCGCACAGGTCTTCCTAAGGTACTGCAATCCAGTGCCCTGTGCGGACCGCACGAAATGGACCGCGGCTGTACAGGAGCCCACCGCGGACCGCAAAAAATCGAGCGCGACCGCGAAGGCTTGGACTTGCTCACCGCGGTCCACGAAGCCTGGCTTCAGATACCTGCAACTTCTGATTTTAAGTCTAAAACATCCCGAACCTACCCGAAACTCACCCGAGCCCTCGGAACTCCAAACCAAGTGTGCATACTAACTCAAAAACATCGTATGGACCTACTCGTGCGATCACATCATCAAAATAACATGTAAAATCATGAATTAAACCTCAAAACTAAATATTTTCATCAAGAACTCTCAAAGTTCCTAACTCCTCAACCGGAAGTTCAATTCACGTCAAATAAAACTCTGTTTTTCACCAAATTTCACAGAAACGTCTTAAATCATATATAAGACCTGTACCGGGCGCCGAAACCAAAATACGGGTCCGATACCATCATGTTCTACTCAAAATTCATTTCAAATTTTTTTAAACAATTTCAGAAAATAATTTTCTTTGAAAATTCATTTCTCGGGCTCGGAATTCGATTCCAGGCATACGCCCAACTCCCATATTTTCCTACGGACCCTCCGGGACCGTCAAATTATGGGACCGGGTCCGTTTACCCAAAACGTTGACCGAAGTCAAATTAGCTCATTCTATAATCAAAACTTATCATTTTTCACAGATTATCATATTTAAGCTTTCCGGCTATGCGCCCGGACTACGCACGCAAATCGAGGTGATTCTAAATGAGGTTTTTAAGGCCTCAGAACACGGAGTTTCATTTTAAAACAAGTGATGACCTTTTGGATCATCACACCACCTTGACAATGTGCTAGTGAAGATCCATTTTTGTTCTCTATCTCTTCCTATTTATAATGAATATTCCCAAAAAACCCTAAAAAATACAATGTAAGGAATATCCAAGGGAATATTCCTGGTGTCCTTTTCTAAACTTATTCTATTGTTACCATTATAACTCCAGTTGCTCGTCACAATGCCGTGGTCGACCCTATCCTCGACATGACTTATCTTCAATTACCGAGTTATCAATTTTTGACCAATACAAGTATAAGTATAACTATGCATATAATGTATAGCGGCTAGGTAAACATTTAAGGAATTTTTACCTCCTATAGCAAAGGTTAACACCTTATTTATTTTAAATAAATACCATTTAAAAAAATTATATTCTATAGATACCTTTTAATGTTTATTGCAAAATATCTAATTTTGGTTACCTCTTAACCCTATGCCACTAAATACGCTATTCAGTTATACTATTTTCTTTCTCTTTCTACTTTGATACATGCTATTCTCTTTCCCCATTCCTTGAAAACACGATGCTCAATCTCAAAATTTCTCTCACCCATATCACCTATGTTCTCTCCGATCCCAATTTCTCCAATTCCATCGGATCATGCATATATGTTACCCATTCAAATATGTTGACATATGGTTTCGACAATATGGTTTCATCAAATTTCGTCACTAAGCAATAGAAGAGGAACTGAAGAGATACCAACAGGGGAGTTCATCCCTTTCTCCTTAAGAAGCCTGACAACACTGCCCACAGGCAATGAGAGGATGTGAAAGAGAAAATCAACGCAATCCTTTTCAGCCTCCGCAAATACAACTTTCTATCATCTTCAATACAAGATTCAAGCTTTAATAGAGTCCTTATTTTACCACCATTGCTCGACGACAGATTCGCCGGAAATTAGAGTTTGTTGTTGAACAAATATGACGGAGTTTGGGGCTGAGCAACTTAAATTTTCTGTTAATATATTTCAATGTATCTCACTGTATTTCCATGTATTTCATTCTATTCATTATTTTTTTCATTATATTTCAATGTATCTCGTTGTATTCCATGTATTTCATTGTATTCACTGTCTCGTTATATTCCATGAATGTATTCATATATTTTTTTAATTAATATAATTTATGTATTCAAATTGCTCTGTTTTTGTTGTATTTATCGGCTGGGAAAAATATTCAGCATATTTTCTCTGAAGATTGCTATGTTTTTGTGGTATTTTTCGATTGAGAATCTTTTTTATAACTGGAAATACAAATTTTGTGTGTTATAATTGAGTTTGTTGAGTTATATTAGGAGTCTATTATATTAATTGATTCACTTTACGTTTAAAAACAGTGTAGTCCCCTGTTTCACGCCATGAATACAGTCGAATACAATAATCTGTCCAGCTATAATCCCATGTTTCACGTCATGAATACAGTCGAATACACTCGAATACAACAACTGATTAACTGGACTTCCCTGATTCACGCTATTTTTGCTATTTTATTTATGAATACAGTAGCTTAAATACATCTAATACATTTTATAACAACAGAAAACATATCTACAATCCATAATATAGCAAATGGTATCTATAGATAGCTAATTACCATTAAAAGATAGTGCTTTATGAAAATTTCTCAACATTTAATCTGACCAACTATTTGCGTAAAAATCCCTAATTCTATTAGGTCCAACCAGTTACTTAAAGGCTCCAAAATGCAAAGGATGACCAAGTTTTTCAATTGGGCTTTTTTCTTTCCTATACCATATATGAAACTTTATTACCAAATATGTGCATAGTTTCTAATTTACCCGCCCTGTCCATACTTTTTCTACAATTATTATATCATTCATTAAATATTAATTATTAGTAGCTGAATCTTCCTAATTAGGCGTGCTAAAATTCAGGAACAGAATCTTTTAATTGATTTAGCCACAAATCAAGTCTGTTCAAAAGCTCAATTCGTCAGAAATCAAATCTGTTCAAAAACTTAGATCTGTTCTGAGATATTTTCGCTTAAGCCACAAATCAAAAGCTCAGTTCGTCGAAATCAGAAGCTCAATTTCAAATTGTAGAAATCAGTTCTGCAAAAACTTTGTTCGTCGACATTCTCTCTACATCTCTCTCTATTTCTCAATCGCAAATTTCAGTGATAAAAAAAAAATAAAAAGAGAGCAGCAATTCCACCATTGACAGCCATTAAAAAGCTTGAAAGCTTTGAATTCAAATTTGGGTTTTCAAAAATCATTATTTGTTTGGATTGAGTGTTGTTGAAAATAATCAAGAATATGGTTTGGAGTTTATATCTCAGTTTTGAGGGGTTTTGGTGAAGATTAGACTTGGTTTTGACTGAATTTCAGATTGAAACTCGAAGAAGAAGAAGAAGAAGAAGAAGAAGAAGAAGAAGAAGAAGACATATTGCAGAAATTGTAGATAAATTGTAGATTATTTGTATTCTGATTGTAGATGCTTTATTTTCTGTTTTCACAAATAAAAAACAGCTAAAACTTCTACAAATCTTCTGAAAAAATGCAATTATGTCAAAAATTACAATTATGCTACAATTGAATGGGAGTTGGGATATAAAAATTCAATGTACCCAGTTTGTAGACATTTTGTAGGTAAATTATAAATTATTTGTAATCTAATTGTAGATGCTTTATTTTCTGTTTACACAAATCAAAAACGACTAAAAACTTCTACAAATCTTCTGCAAAAAATGCAATTATGTCGAAAATCTCAATTAAACTACAATCAAATGGGAATTGGGATATTAAAATTCAATATACCCAGTTTTTAGATATTTTGTAGATGAATTGTAGATTATTTGTATTCTGATTGTAGATGCTTTGTTTTCTGATTTCACAAATCAAAAAGACTAAAACTTCTACGAATCTTCTGCAAAAACAATCTGCAATTTTTTTACAATTTATCTACAATTTCTGCAATATGTCTTCTTCTTCTTCTTTTTCTTCTTCGAGTTTCAATCTGAAATTCAGCCAAAACCAAGTTTAAATCTTCACCAAAACCCCCTCAAAATTGAGATATAAACTCCAAAACATATTCCCAATTATTTTCAACAACACCCCAATCAAAACAAATAATGATTTTTGAAAACCCAAATATGAATTCAAATCTTTCAAGCCTTTTAATTGTTGTCAATAGTGGAAGCCTGTAAAAAGAACGTGGGTATGGGTAAAACGTGGGTTAGGAGAGAGAAACGTGGGATGAGTGGGGATCTTGGAATTAAACGGAAATCCTTTAATTAAGGAGTAAAAATATCTCATTAATTATACCCTTAATTAATTGTGGTATAGAATTGTTAATTTGTGGTATAGGAGATGTAAAAATTCCTTTTCAATTTTCATACAGCTGGCCCAAACAACGCTGGCCTAGCCCACATCTGTAATTATCCAAAGCAAATTTCCAATTATAGTTGACGAGAAAGCTATCGTTAGATCAAGCAACTATATTCAATACAAAAATATCCCCGTTTTTGTACAATTCAGTCTCAAATCTCCTTATCTACAGAAGTTTTTTTCTATTTTATTTATATTTTCTCCATCGAACGACCAATTTTGACTTGAAATCATTGTTGCAGAATACAGAATTGTATTTTCAGTGTGAGATCGGACGATAATTTGGGTTTGACGACTCTAATTTTTGTTGCGATTGGAGTTATTGCGTCTCTATGTGCCAGAATTTGCTGCAGTAGAAGCCCTTCTACTAATATGTACGGTTAATTTGTTCCATTTGTCTTTGTTTCCTTCAAATGTTGCTTATCATTATTCTCTTAGGGCTTGCTTGGTTTGTGGTATGAGAAAAAAGAAAAGTTTGCATAGAAGTCTGACTTATATTAATACAAAATGCTTGAGTTTTGTATAAAACACTGAATTATTGATGTAGCTTTGCATTACTAATATAGTACTTCTGCCATACCATTTTATGCGAATCTATTTGGCTGGAGTTTAGTAAAGAATAATTTCTTTCGATGTAACTGTAAACTTCTTATTTTACCATTAATTTAGATGATTTATATCCACACAAATGTTTATGGATTATTTCAGATCACAAGCTTCAAAAGTCTTCCAGTATTTCTTAAATTCCGTGCGCAGTCAAATAAGTTTCACTTAAATTAAAAGTGAGGGAATATTGATTTCAACTTCATTGCATGTTGTAATTCCTTTAGGGCTTGTTTGGTTTGTTGTATGAGAAAATATAAGTTCGGCATAAAAAACTCTGCTCTCAACCGTAACAACAACAACAACAGCATACCCAATATAACCCACAAATGGGGTCTGGGGAGAGTTATGTGTACGCAGACCTTACCCCTACCTGGGAAGATAGAGAAGCTGTTTCCGATAGACCCTCGGCTCAAGAGAAGGTGGGTCTATAATCTATGAGTAAATATCACAAATGGAATTTGGCTTATATGAAATGCTTTCCGGGGAAATGCATATCATAATTCTCTGCACAACTGGGGCTGAAATTTCAGTATCTCAACCTCCCATGTTTAATTCTTTGAAGCCTTCTCCCACACATTACAATATCCCCTTATACTAATTTGATTTTTCAGCTGATTTTTCACCCCTTATACTAGTAGCTAACTGAATTTTGTGATGCAGGTTACACATGACATTGATCATCACCGCTACAGTATGCTGCTGGATGATGTGAGTTTGCTTCTCTCTCTCTCACTCACTCACACAGACACACACGCCCGCACGAACCAGACGTAACGTAGATGCTTTATCTCTCAAAAGTACTTATAAAAGAAACTCTCTCTTTCAAAACACGGCAGCATGAGTTCATTTGTTTGACTTGAAGCTAGGGGCTTGTAAGATGTTTTCCTGAATTTACTTTATTACATCTCCTGTACTTAATCTTTTGATGTCAAAGAGGTTGCATAAATAGAGAAATCACTTACCAATCAAAAAATAAAAGATAAAAGATAAAAAAATAGAGCAATTACGAAGTTACATAATTGTTGTCCCATAAACTTTGTGAGAGGATTTAAATGATGATTGACTTCCTAGGATGAACTTGGATGTTGGTTTTTGGGTATGAATATATATATATATATATATA